ATCGTTGTGCTACCTTGGGAATGTGGTTCCCTGGTGGGACAGTGGGAAATTTAAAAAAAAATGGGACTTAAAAGCTAAAATCCGGGGTTCTATTTCCCGTGGTGAACACAGCAGGTAGCCCAATGTGTCTTCCCTTTAACACAAACAAATAAAGCCTTGGGAACGTTACAGAGGTTAAAGGTTACAAACTATAGCGTACATATTCAAAACTTGGACTTCAGGGCAGACCAACTGAAAGTTTAATTGCTTATAAGTTAGCTCAGTGAATGATCATGATAACATTTGAAAAATCCCCTTCTTTTTCTATGAAGAAATCTTTGCTTTTTTGTTTGTTTGAAGCAAATCACAAAGCTACACAATAGGCTATCTATTCTCTGCCCACCACGGGTATCGAAATCCGGTTTCTAGCGTTGTAAGTCCGCAGACATACCGCTGTGTCACTGGGGGGGGGCTCTATGAAGAAACAGCTTATTCTGTGCATACAGATGTTTCTCTAAACAGGAAATTTGGGCCACAAAATGCTTTGACAGATAATGTATTAAGTAGAATAAACAGAGTAGACATTGGTCAAAATTGGGTATCCAACAAAAAACTTTTGAAAAATATTAAATATTTGCATACAAAATTAAAATGCAAAAGCTATGCGATAAACACTGGTCGTAAAAAATTAACAAATAGATAACTTTTCATAAAACTGGAGTATTACTGAGGCACGAGAAAACCTAAAGATCACCATATAACACTGAAATGCCCTCCTACGACAACTCTTAATGAATATTAAATTGAATATAACTCATGGTAATCTGAGGAAGTATTATATTTAACCAGTTCCAAGAATTTCAATCTGGAGATAAGGATAAAAACACTTACAATATACTGTAACTGGATTTAATTGTCATAAATTACCTCTCAAATACATGAAAACTACAAGTAAAATTCACAACTTAGAAAGCAGACGATAAAACATACTTATCAATTCCAAAAAAAAAAAGAAATCAAAAAAGAATAGTGACATGGTAAGAATATACTATATAAAGTTTAATTTCATGTCATAAGCTGTATACTTAGTCGTGTTTGACCTGTCTAAGAAGTTATTCATTATAAAAAACTTAGTACTTCTAGCTCTTAATACGAAAACATCACATTTTGTGATGTTCCAAAACCTACACTTGAACCTAGGTTACAAAGATTGAGAAGTTTACGTGCTCTACTGACAAGTAAATTTCATAGATAATATAAATTACTCCATATAACACATTTTATGTAGCATTAATCTTAGTAAAAAAAAATCTAAACTGAAAATAAAAAATCAAATATTTCTCATATGAAGAACCTAAGATATTAAATGTAATTACCCTCGAACAACTGAAGCCAAGCTAAGATTTCAGCCTGGTAATACTTATTCAAGTTGGACCACTGAACAAGATAGATAATTTTTGTCAAGACTTTTTCGCAAGAGAACGAACAAGTTAAACCGATAAAATATATTCAAAAGAGATCATATACGAAATACGTACCTGAAAATGATTGATAAAAGCTTTTTAGAAAAAAAAAATGCTTCACAGCTTATATTTCTCAATTGAGAATTCTGAAGACTCACCCTTTTGTATTACAAACACAATGTAACATTTTTCAAAAAATACTTTTCAAACGGTATCACGACATTTTACGGCCGTCATATTATTGCCGTAGTAAATGACTGCCGGCAAATAATTATGTTCTCAAAACAAAACATCTCTTAGCACAGTGAGCAACCTTAAAAACAGAATAATAAAGTAATTGATTAAATTGCTGGAAAAAAAAAAGGCTCTCA